CCTCGCCTCCTTCCCTCCCGCCCTCCGTCGGTCTTTTCCGTTCCCCCCGGGCATCGTCTCCCTCTCTGCTGCCTCCGCCGGAGCTGCTCTGCCGCTGCCTCCCGGCGGAGAGTGGGCTCCGTGGCGGCGGCGGCGGCGCCCTTCCCTCCTCTCCTCTCCCTGCGCCTCTTCCGCAGCCTGAGCGAGCGGGGGACGGAGGGCAGGGCAGGGCAGGGCAGGGCGGCTCGGCCCGGGGCCCCCGCTCGGCTGCCTCCCGGAAGGGTGATCTCTCTGCTGGCAGCCCCTTTCCCTGCTTGGGAACCGATTTTCCACTAAACGCTCGCGGGGCCCAGGCGGTGATGCTCCTGCTTCGGGGCCCCGCCTGCTCTGGGCGCCCCGAGAGAGTCTCCCAGCAGCTAGGCAGGGGCTGCGCTCGGGCACCGGGAGTCTGGCCCTCTTCTTCTGTGCTTGGGCACCTGTGTGGCCTCGGTTGGCCCATCCCTCAAAAAAAAGCTGAGCTCAGCACCAGGATCCCCAGCAAAGGTGGGGAGGGGCTTCCCAGTGGAAGAGACCCACTGAGGATGCCCAGGGACCGGTTTGGGCTGGACACCTGAGCATTCTCGGGACAGATGTGGAGTCCAGCGCAAAAGAAGCGAGGGACTTTGTGCCCAGGAAACAGCTGCACTCCCAGGTGAGATCCATGGCCAGTTGTGTTACCTTGCCTGGGGGTGGCCTGGCCCTGACCGCCTCAGGCCCAGAGAGACAGCTGCCATTAGAGTCTTCCGTGGGCACCTTTCTGACATCACCCACATGGCCAGGAGGCCAGGGCAGGCCTCACCTTGCCAAGCCAAAGGTCAAGTCCAGCCCATGACCCTGGTTTATCCAGGTTGGCGGAAAACAGCAGGAACCCAAACAAAAATGTACCATCTCAATGCTGGAGATGTAAAAAACGAAAAAGGGACCTATATGTGTATGTGGTGGATGTGTGAAATAAGGAAGAAAGCCTGGGCACTGGTTTTTAAAGAAATTAGAGAAATGATTGGATGTAATATTCAAATACCACCAAATATTCCCTGTTAAATAGAATTAAGAACGACCATCTTAAAAAAGAACAGAAAGAGTTAATTGTTCTAATGGTCAAAGTAGCAAGATTAATATTTGCAAAGAACTGGAAAAGTGATAAGCAAATTAATCTTGAAGATTGGTATTTGTTGGTTTGTTTGTTTATTCTACTTTATTTTATTTATTTATTTTTGTTTGTTTATTTATTAGATTTATACCCTGCCCATCTAGACCAAAGTCTACTCTGGGCGGCTAAGAATAATAGATAAATAGATAAAATAAAAACAATATAATAAAATAAAAAATGACAGTAGTAATATAGTTGGGGGAAATATTCAAGTGATGACAGGAGGGAAAGCTTGCCTAAGAGCCAGGTCTTAAGTTTGCTCTTAAAAACATCCAGTGAGGGAGCCAGACAGATCTCCGGGGGCAGTCTGTTCTGAAGGCGAGGGGCCACTGCCAAGAAGGCCCAGTATCTTGTACTTTCTCTCTGGGCCTCCCAGCCACACTTCCTGGCTAGAATGAGTGATTCGAGTCGATCTAGGTGGGAGGAGGCATTCTGCTAGATATTGAGGTCCTAAACCATTTAGGGCTTTATATGTCACCATTAACACTTTGAAATTAATGCGGAAACGAACGGGCAGCCAACGCAAGGCAGCCAGAGTGGGGGAAATAACGCTCATATTTTCTCACCCCAGTGAGAAGTCTGGTCGCTGCATTCTGCAAAGTACAAAGGTGGTGATTGTTTAGTCGTTAAGTCATGTCCGACTCTTCCTGACCCCATGGACCACAGCACACCAGGCCCTCCTGTCTTCCACTGCCTCCCAGAGTTTTGTCAAATTTATGTTGCTAGCTTCAGTGACACTGTCCAGCCATCTTGTCTTCTATTGTCCCCGTCTCCTGTTGCCTTCACACTTTCTCAACATCATGGTCTTTTCCAGGGAATCTTCTCTTCTCATGAGATAGCCAAAGTAGGGGAAGATATGGAGGCAATAACAGATTTTACTGTCTTGGGCTCCCTGATCACTGCCTATGGTGACAGCAGCCATGGAATTAAAAGATGCCTGCTTCTTGGGAGGAAAGCGATGACACACCTAGACAGCATCTTAAAAAGCAGACACATCACCTTGCCAACAAAGGTCCGCAGAGTCAAAGCTATGCTTTTTCCAATAGCGATGTATGGAAGTGAGAGCTGGGCCATAAGGAAGGCTGACCGCCAAAGACTTGATGCTTTTGAATTGTGGTGCTGGAGGAGGCTCTTGAGAGTCCCCTGGACTGCAAGGAGAACAAACCTATCCATTCTGAAGGAAATCAACCCTGAGTGCTCACTGGAAGGACAGATCCTGAAGCTGAGGCTCCAATACTTTGGCCATCGCATGAGAAGAGAAGACTCCCCCGAAAAGACCCTGATGTTGGGAAAGTGTGAAGGCAGGAGGAGAAGGGGACGACAGAGGACGAGATGGTTGGACAGTGTCATCCAAGCGACCAACATGAATTTGACCCAACTCCGGGAGGCTGTGGAAGACAGGAGGGCCTGGCATGCTCTGGTCCATGGGGTCACGAAAAGTCGGACATGACTAAATGACTAAATAACAACAACAACATGTGAAATGAAAGTAAGAAGGGTAATGACAAAACATAATGATTTTAAAGAGATATGGAATATATATTTGAAGTATGCCTTTGTGAAAAGGAAAGGCCGTAAGCCAGCAGAAGAATCAATGTATTTTTGGAGTGGAATTGAGTGAAAAGAGATCTAAAAGACATTTCTGGTTACCCAGTCCCAAGGGTGATGGTGGCACAGGTGGGGAATTTTAGTTGTATTGTTAGACTAGGCATCCTTCAGTCTCGAAAGACTATGGTAACGTGCTCTGTATGGAGGACTTGGTACAGCGTCTAGTGTGGCTGAGGAGGCCAATTTGAGAGTGACAATCCCTATTGTATTGTATGTATACACATTTTGAGTTAGTGTTGTTATTATTAACTTTCTAACCCAGCAGGGAGCTCCTGGCTCTTAGTGTTTGGGCCCATCATCGCAAGACAACTGCACTGGAAGGGCCAAACAACAGAGGTAGCCAAGGGTTTTGCAGTGGTGGGAGCACATCTTCCTCGTGTGCGCAAGCGTGAGGAGATCACTCCTCACTATAACCTTGAGATATAACCGTCTGTGTCACAATTTAGCGATTATATACATGTATAGCCAATGCATTTTTTAAATGCTCAGTGTGTCTGAGCATAATTAGTGCATTATGAGATGCAGTCACTGTTTCAGAAAGACACGGATATCTCTAGCTGTAGCAAACATATCATAAAACAATAAAACCCAGGTTCCTTCCTGACCTCTTGAAGGAAAATAGCTTATCACAGGTTGGAAGACAACCAGATGTCACAAAAGGAATGTTTCCTTTTGGGTGTATCCTGGGGGAAAGTTTTTCAAAGAAATACCAATTTAAATTACTCACTTATGGCCCTTCATGGGTTTTCCTGTGTAAGCTCTGCATGCAGCTTGGGTTTTTAGACTGTCTTTACACGTGTTGTTGTTGTGTATGTGAGTAATGACTGTCTCTGCTAGCTGTCATGACTGAAATGTTTTCATGAATCCTCTTGTCATGCCTCTAGGCATATGTGCTAGAAGAACAACCTTCCCATGTGTCTGTGCATGCGTGTGTGTTTGTGTGTGAGAGAGAGTTTTTCTGCTGTCAGAGATGAGGAAGGTCCTGGCCGGGGGGATCATCGTTCTAGGGACAGGGTAGGGGGTCGCTTAGAAGGAGGCCAGCCCTCCTCTCATGCTGATGTGACATGCCTGGCAGGGGGCAGATGGATCCCTGATTTTGTCAGGGAGGAGCTTGCGTCAGTCACACCGTGAGCTAGCTTCCTTGCTTCCTTGCTTGGTGCAGCCATAGTGGACGTTGTCGTAGAATTGCTGAGGTCTGTCTTGGTTTATTGGTTTACGGCGCCCAGGTGCCTCGGCTGGTGCCTCGACCTGTGGGAAGGATCAGTGGCTGTGCTACCCTTTGGTAACACCGCCACTCTCATGTTGTCACCAAACACAGCCTTTGGTCACAACATGAGAAAAGGTGGCTGTGATGCCCTGGAAGCACATTTACAAACCGGAAAGCCAGAACCTCCAAGACAAGACCTTTGGTGAAATGTTGGGCTTTTTACACCTGCTGGGCCCACTGGCCTTCTGGAGCTGCATGGCCTCAGTGTGTTCATCATCACCCAGCTGTACAGGAGAGTTAAGAACTGGAGGATGTTTTGGAGAGAAACCCAGGGGTGAATTCCACCTGGATCTGTACGGCACCAGATTTGCTGGTGCTTGATATAAATATGAGAGCAATCCAACTTGAACTGATCTCTGGGAGAAAGCTGGGAGGAGCTGTGGAGTGTCCTGGTTGGGGAATGGGCAGAAATGTTTCTGACACCAGCATGTACTAGGAAGCTATTGGATGCCACCTCATTTTCATGTTCTTATTACATTTTAATCGCCCATTTGCCCCCCCCCACAATTCAATTAAGAAACATCACTGAAAACAAATTAAGCCATAAAAATCATTACAAATGCCAATAAACATACAATTTGACTTAAAAGGTCAGATGGATGAGATGCTGTCACACCTTTTTTCAATGCAGCAAGAGTGATTTCCGATGGCAGCTCTGAGGGGTTGCATTCCTCAAGGTTAGTTGGGAGAATGTCCCTACTCTTTCTGTCAAAAGGCCACCCACAGATAATGGTACTTGCAGGTGGGGGGGGGGCTCTTCTGAAGATCCTAACATAAAGAATCCTAGAATAATGGAGTTGGAAGGGGGCCTTTAAGGCCATTGAGTCCAATTACCTGCTCAAGTCAGGAATCTAAATCAAAACAGATCTGACAGATGGTTGTCCAATTTTCTTTTCCATGCCTCCAGCATTGGAGCACTCACCACCTCTTGAGACAATTGGTTCCATTGTCGTACTGTTCTAACAGCTAGGAAGTTTTTCCTGATGTTCAGCCTAAATTTGTTTTCCTATAGCTTGATCCCATTATTATGTGCATTCTGGGATGGAGAACAGATTCTACCTCTGTATGACATTCTTTCAAATTTATGAAGAATGTGATCTTATTTCCCCTCAAGTCTTCTTTTCTCAAGGCTAAGCATGCCCCGGTTCTTTCAGTATTTTCTCCTAGGGCTTGGTTTCTGGTCCCCGATCATCCTCAAACTTGTGCCAGTTTGTTGGCATCCTTCTTAAAGTGCAGTGTCTATTGGTTCTGCAGTCTCTTCAGCCATTTCCTTCAATATCCTTGGAAGCAGTTCATCCAGCTCCAGGGATTTGAACTCATTTAAGGTAGAGAGGTATTCCTTGGCTGTATTCTCAAAGGCTTTCTCAAAGGTCAACGAACTCTACCCAGCCACAAGGACTGGCGATCACTGCACACAAAAGACTAACTAACAACACCCCTCAATCACAGTGATAGATCCTCTCCCCCCCATCACAACAATACACCTATAACAAAAAAACACCCTGATCACCATAATCACCCAATCCTGAAAAGGACAAAATCTGATCCCACAGCTACAAAGACTCAACTATCCCACGCACTACACCAGAACACAGACAGAGTTCTAACTCATGTCCTCTGAAGATGC